TATAAAAAAGAATTGGCACTTTATTTAAGCGATCAATCCGAATGGCAAAGAGGAATAGTAAAATACAATACTTTTTGAATAGTGTTGGTCACTATGGATTTTATAAAGTTGCCTCTGGTAAAGAGAAATACAGACCTATAATTAAGAGACCGAAAGGTGTTTCTGGCTGCATTGAAAAGGTTAATAGAGCTTATGCTGAAGTTTATTTCGATTTGAACGCTGACTTTGTCTTCGATCTTTCATGGATTTGTGATTCAGATTTTGGAGAAGATGATCCTGATTTTCCAAGACACGAGATCTTTGGCGTAATTCGACGTTTGCGAAATGCTGCTGCTGCCGAACCTGATGGTGTTCACGCTTTAATTGTTAAGACCATTTTTGATTTATATCCTGATTTCTTATTTGTTTTGTTCAACATGTGCTTAAAGTATTCTGTTTTCCGGATAATTGGAAGATTTTTAGGGTTATACTTATTCCTAAAGATAACGGGAAATCTACACCCATCGTACTTTGAAATATTATTGGAAAGGTACTGGACAAGTTAGTGACTAATAGACTTTAACATTATATCATGAAATATAAACCTTTTCACAATAACCAGTTCGGTTTCTTGCCGGTTAAATGCACAGATGATGTCTTGTTTGAGGTTATTTCATTTATACCAGAATATAGGAAAAAAGAACATGTACTATTGGTGTCATTCGATAATGTCGATTGCAACTCCTTGCTGTTGAACATTTATGATTTGCATATTCCTAGGAATTTGTTTTATTTAATATTGAATTATTTTAAGAATAGAAAGATTCTTTTTTAATTGTTTCTCCGATGACAGGTATGGCTCTAACTTTGTTATTAGTAGGGGTTGCCCTCAAGGCTCTTGTAGCGCTCCCCTGTTCTGGAACATCATTATGGATAAACTGTTGAAACAAAATTTTGCCGATAATGTAAAATTGATTGCCTATAGGGATGACATACTTTTATTATTGAGAGATGAATCACTGGAAAAATTGGAAAGACTGTTTGACGAAACTTGTAAAATCCTTGATGATTAGAGTAGTAAAGAAAAACTGAAGTTCAATATGAATAAAACACAAGCTATGTTTTTTTCCGAGGGAGGTCGAACTATCAGGCTCCGCTCCCCCCTCGGATAAAATATGATGATAAACAAATAAAATTTATGGAAAATATAAAATATCTTGGTGTTATCCTTGATCCAAAACTAACCTTTATTGAACGTTTTAAGTGCATTCCAAGAAGAACGGTTCAACTTTTACTTATAAAAGGAATTTTCCAGGTGATGTACTTCCAAGGAAATCCTCTACCTTACTTACTGTAATACAGTTGTATTGGCAATTATCAGGTACGGCATTCATGCATGGGGTTCCAGGGCAGGGGAGTTGATAAGGCTCAGAAGGAAATTAGATTCAATCCAGAGAGCTTGGGGTTTGGCTATCATTCGATGTTTTAGGACAGTCCCCACGGAGGTGGCCAGTTTGCCGCCCCTCTCAGTCTTGTATATATTATATTATCAGAAATATTTATTACGATCCGGTAATATGGACTTTATTCAATATGATTCAAATATTGTTACTAAACATTCTTTTGGAAAATTTAATTACCATCTTTTTCATCCGACAAAACGTATTGCTTATAGTTTTGATAAAACTTTTCCTAAAATTAATATGTATCATTTCCATACGGATAATTCGGGGATCGGGGAGGCATTGGAGCAGCTTTCTTTATTTACTTTTATGGAACAAAAATTTATAATTGTCAGTATAGACTGAATTCTTATAATTCCGTTTTTAAGCAGAGTGTGTAGCGGTCTTACAAGCTTTAAAATGGATTAAGATGAATGTTTACAATAATGTTATCATTAATTTATATACTGATTGCCACTCGTTGCTTCAATAACTTTCCCGCCCCGACAATACAAATTTGCTTATTGTGGATATAAAATTGTTGCTTGAAAATATGTACCCTAAAATTATTTTGCACTGGGTCAAAGCCCATGTGGGGTATGCCGGAAAAGAGAGCGCCGACATTCTGTCCAAGGAGGCTGTTACTAAAGAGAACATACCATTTATAGAAATATCTGGCTCCAAACGAGTAGCTCTAACTCTCATGAAAGGATATTTTAACAATGAGTGGAAAGAACTGTGGGGAAATTCTGATTCAGAAGAGATTGTTTCATCACGTCTGTACGTAAGTACGTATGTATCTCACATAGCTCAAAAACCAGTACCCTCAGAACGTTGAAATTTTGTATATAATAAAAAAATGACTTAAAATGGGTTCAGAAGAGATTTTTGTCCCGTCACGTCTGTACGTAGGTACGTATGTATCTCACATAGCTCAAAAACCAGTACCCTCAGAACGTTGAAATTTTGTATGTAATAAAAATGACTTAAAATGGGTTCAGAAAAGATTTTTTTTCCCGTCACGTCTGTACGTAGGTATGTATGTATCTCACATAGCTCAAAAACCAGTACCCTCAGAACGTTGAAATTTTGTATGTAATAAAAATGATTTTAAATGGATTCAGAAGAGATTTTTTTCCTCACGTTTGTACGTAAGTACGTATGTATATCGCAGAGCTCAAAAACCAGTACCCTCAGAGCGTTGAAACTTTGTATATAGGACTGCTATAACATGTAGATGTGCACTTCCCTTTCTCGTTGCAATCTGCCGCATCAAATGTATATATATATATATATACACAAATATATATATATACACACCCACTCTATTACTCGGTTCGGGGAGCTCAGTTGTTTTTTATTCTTTCATGTTGGTAAATTTTGCATTTTTGCTTTAAAATGATTTAATTATGTTGCCAGTGTGTTCTGGTTAACGTTTTATGCCTTTAGTTAATCTGCATGCAATAGTTGTAGAATTATCAACAATTTAAGAGTTGTTTAAGTGCGGCTAAGTTTTTTTTAACCATAGCAGCCATATTTGTTCATATTTGAAACTGGTCAGAATACTGAATGAAGTCAGTTTCTGCACCTTCAGTGTCTTTTTGCCGAGGGGGACGAAAAGGAAACTTTTTCGGAAGAACCGAAAAATCTGCCTTCTTGCCTGCTAGCAGAACTGCTTGTTTTTGCGTAGAAGCTCTAATTTTAATTGTAAAAATTGTTTTTAAAATTGTTTTAATGGTGTTTTTTTCTATATTTTTCAATTTTTAATGAAGATATTTTAAGGTGTTATGTATTTTTGCCTTGCCGAGAAGCGAGAACTGGATTAGTTGAATATATTTCTGAATATTTTAAATTTAATCTTACTTAAATAAAAGTTGTTAATTATACTCTTGCAGTTTTGCATGTTTTATATTTTCTAAGCAATAAAATGAGATTTTATTTTTATTTTAATTTATTTTAATTTTATTTTTAATTTTATTTTACTTTTATTTTCGTTTCTGCTGATTGTTTTCGTTTGATAAAAACAAAATTTGACTGTCGATATGAACAGTAAAAACATGTTCCGTGTGGATTTCGCGCTACCACACGAAACTATGGTACACTCTATGTACAGTCGAGCACTAGTAATTCGACCCGAGATTTCAAATCATGGCAAACTGCTTAGCTGCATAAGTGTTTTTTCACTCGTGTTTGTTTGCATGTATCTGCGTAAGACGAATATAAGACGGTTTCTGTTAAAAAGTCTTCCACGAAGAACAGGCAGACATCTGCATTCGAATAATCACATGTTTTGCCCTAATCGGAAAACAATGAACTCGAATTCCTCATATTTTTGAAGTCTGGGAATGCTAACAAAGAGATTCTTGAAAATGTTTTTAGTCTATAGCCTACCCTTGTTACATGATTGAGACAAAGAAATAAGAAAAGCATGTTTTTTTTTGGTTTTTTTTTGGAAAAAATCGTTGTCAATTCTTTTCGAAGTATTCTATTGTTAGTTCTTTCATGTTTACAGTTTTACTTATTGTATCCAAAAATTGCGCCAAAATTCTATCTTACTCTAAAAAATTTTGAAATCATAAAAATCCTGAAACACTACACTTTTTTTGATAAACATCACATCTGCCATCTGCCAACAGTAGGAAAATGCTGATAAATTGCTACTGGAAATTCTTTTCCCCCTTTAAGATATCATAAAGAACCTAGATACATAATAATTAAGGTTTATTCTAAAATTCGTCAATTTTAGATGATAGAGCATTTGAAGTATATTGTTGCGCATACAATCCTTAGTATTGGCAATTCTGTGCCAATGTTTAGACCTGTGTACAGAATACCTTGGCATGAAAACTTTTGCTTTATGATGTTCTCTCACGTGCGTCAAAAATCTCTTAATACAGTCAACACATATTAGCAAATTTAGATTTCTTAGTAGTAAAGTCACAGTAATATAAACATAGTGCAGATAACATTTATTTCAGATCCATGGTTGAAGAATTCAAAGTACAAAAATATAGAGCGCGCATAAATACTTTTAGCGAGTCTCCAAATTGAAGATATTGACAATGATCTCAATGATGTTTAGAAAATTTAATAATCAACTAATATCTGTAACAGCAGATAGAGGGGACTGAAATAAGCAGATTTTGTAAAGGAATATTTGTGTGGAAAGAGGTTTCAGGGATATGTAGACCATTGCTGATCGGCAGGTAAAAGCATTCACCTGCGGAAAATGTCAACTTCCTCATTGATAAAATGAATATCAGCATTCTCCACGTCCATGCAGCAATGGATACCATTAAAAAACTGATCACCAGTTTGAACACGGAGTAACAATTTACCGCAATAGTATTTTTACCTAAAAGGTCTTTCCCTTTGCTTTTGCAGCCTTATTTAATGAAGCTCCATATTTAGAATTATATTATATTTATTCGAACCGATCTTTCATTTTCGAAGCAAAATATTATCCGAGATACTTTGCGTAGTTTATTGTGGCTGTTTTGCAGATTGATAAATTTTCCTTTTAGTAATAATTTTTAGTGTAGATGTGTTTTACGATATGGCAATAAATCTTTATTTATCATATGATCTAAGAAGTAAACCTGGGCGTAAGATCGCTTAGGCCGGAGAGCAGACGTTTTATTTAGCTTAATCTTCTTTTTAAAGAAATATATTAGTTAACAAAATGGGGACATTATTTCGGAGTCAGCCTATGGTATTATGCCAACTTTTTCTACAAAATGAATCGGCATATGCCAGTGTATCAAACTTAGGAGAACTGGGACTGGTACAGTTTAGAGATGTGAGTGAATTAAATCTCGTTTTTTTATAAATTTGCATAAGTTAAAGGTTTAAAACATAATTAAATGTTGATGTTTTTCATGTAAAAAGTTAATATACTCCGTGCATAAAATTATAAATGTGTCATGCATGTGTCGTATCACATGACTGTATTAATTTTTAAAAAAGTATTCCTATAACATGGAATTAAAATGTTCTTCTTAGACTACATTAGCATTAAATAAAGTAACTTAAAATGTTTCAAAGTTTTAGTTGGTTAATTTATTTTGTTCAGGATTTAGAATTTTTCTGATTAAATATTATGAATTTAAGAGTTACTTGTTTGATGCTTTAAAAAAAAAAAAAAAAAAAAAAATGTTTCTTGCTAGATTAGCTATTAAATAATAGTTTTATAGGTATGATTTCATGTTATCAGTAATAGGTAGATTGTGAATGCATGCATATGTATTAAAATGCATAAATATGAAAATTATGACAATGTAAATAATTCTTCATTTTAGACTAATGCTTCAGTTAGTGCTTTTCAAAGAAGATTTATAACTCAAGTTCGAAGATGTGATGAAATGGAAAGAAAATTAAGTATGCTTTCCTCCCCCCCCAACTTTTAAAAATAATTTTTGTATAAATTAAATTGGTACAATAAACTTAACTCCTCTTTTTTTAAAAAAAGATTATGTGAAGAAAGAAATACTAAAAGATGATATTCGAATAGAAGAAGTGGAAGATAATCCTCCAGCTCCTCAACCTAAAGAAATTATAGATTTAGAGGTATGATATTTTTGCATAATATGTGTGATGCAGATATTCATTTAATTACTATGCATTCAGTTTAATTTTTAAGAACCAAAATTCATATGTTATAAATATCTGCCATAATCTGTGTAGTGGTTAGTGATACTAGCTGCCATGTCTTTGAGTCCAAGTTTGAATCCCAGAGAAGTCTTGGATGTTTGTAAGTGTATGTGTGTGGTATGAGGGCACTTAAAATACTGGTAAATACTTAAAATAAGTATACTGGGGTTAATCTTTGGATTATGGTAACTTGGTGATTTTTTGGCGAACATTTGGCAACCAACCCTGGTACAGCAACCTGCTAGTTTTGTTTTGGACGCCATTTTGTTTTCACGAAATAAAGGCATTTTTTTTTTTAAATTTTTTTTTATTAATCAACATTTTTTCCAACAATCTGCTAGCCGAATTACGCTTATACTAGAACTTTTATTGAACAAAAATGTTTAATCATGACGAAGATTAGGTGCGAAATTGAGAGAAAGTGCAGAATCGCAAACTGCTTGCCGCGTTTTTAAGAATTGTACATACGCGGTATCATCCATGTACACGTCAACCAATTTTCACTTAAAAAAACATCCCAGACTGCACAAAAATGGCATTGCGCACACTCTTGACTTTATCCATATACACTACTAAAGTCCTAGCTAGTAACATTTATCGCCTTACCAAAATGTCGCCAAACTACCTGTTACCATATTCCCAAAAGATTAGCCTATACTGGTAAATACTTAAAATAAGTCCTCTCAAGTAGCTTGGTAGTAGGGGAAGAGGGGTGGGAAATCTTTGGATATTATTGAAAATAATCTATTTTTCCAATACTGATTAGGTAATAGGAATAGATAGGGTAATAACTTTGTTAAGCACAAATTTCTGTTTATTTTTGGGAATTTTCCAAGATTTTTCATGTTTTAAAATTTTTATTATAAATTGGTAAAAGTATATTTACTGGTATCCCTTGTCGAAAATTGGCGATTTTTGGCAGCACATGGATACCAAGTTTGTGCAATTCTTTGATTTCTTATTTTGGTTTTGTGTAGCAGCAATTTTAGCGCCAAAAATCATCGCCACACAAAGACTAAATAACTAGTCAGCGAATTGCTCAGAGAAAACTCGGTATCCATGTACACATTGACCTATTTTCACTTCAAAACAAATTACAGAATTGCACAAACTAGGCATTGCGGAGTCCTTTAACTTTATTGAATTACACGTCAACCTATTTTCACTTTAAAAAAAAATATCAGAGAAATGCATAAACTTGGCATTGCACACTCCCTTGACTTTGTCCATGTACACAACAATATATTTTCACTTAAAAAGCACCCAATTCTACAGTAGAAACAAACAAAAAATATGTAATCTCATCCAAAAACTTCCTAAAATTATCTGTATATCGGCATTGCCACATCAGTTCACAAAAATAAGAGTAAAAAATGACCTCCGTAGTTCCGGTCAGTCCAGAAAATGGATACTAAGTAAACCTTAATTTACACACCAGTCAATGCTCTTTCCCCTTTCATTCCAAATCATACAGAAACGTGAAATTAATCTTACTACCGTCAGCCATTGTACTGTCTATACAACAAAACAGGCAATTACTTCCTAACTAACGCACACCAAAAGCCCTTACAAAAACATCCCACAATTCAAAATTTACCACAATCGTGCAACCGATTACATACCATGACATTCAACTACCCAGGTTACCATAAATGAAACAACAACTTGGCGATAAATAAAACAACAACTTCGCGATAGTACAAGGGATACCATTCAGTCTACTCTAACCTATAAATGTTATAGTTAAATAATTTTTATTCTACTTATTATGAATTTTCTGCAGAAGTACGCTGCTAATTAATCCTATTCCTGATTGAAAAGCAGAACTTATGAACTTATGTACTTAAGCAGAACTTTGTATTATTCTATTAAGTTTGGCTGAAATGTGAAACTTGTAAATAAAATGAGATTTTTTTCTAGAATTATTTTGTTTGCATTTAAATTACAAATCCTTTTGATCTCCTTTAACTGTCCAAGGGATGTAAAATTTAGGATCTAAAATTTGGTGTAGAGTCAATACATGTAAATCGGAATTGAATGACATGATGAGCTAACTTCAGCAACAATACAAAGAAAAGTTCATGGTTTCGTTTTACAGAAAAAGCTGTGAAAAGGGCATTCTAACCTTCTTCTTTTTTTCAGATTAGATTGTCATGTGGCATAATGCAGGTTATATGGTGTGATTGAGAAGATACACCGTTGGCAGTTTGTGTTCGCAAGAGCATTCTGCACCATCGGACTTTACTTTTATACAGGGCCAATTAATAACAAACCACACACACACACACACAAAAAAAAGATAGTTTATCACTTTTTGGTTAGTTAGGCCAAATGTCTTGGTTGAATTAATTATGAAGCTTTTACATTATTTTGTGATGCCCCTATGAAGAGACTGTAGTTGTGTGGGGCACTGTGGCATATAGTTTGGGAACCAATGGGCTGATACTTAAAAAACTGTATAACTTTAATTTAGTGCTTATGTTGCATTTTTATCATGTGTCAAAGGTTATTTACAATGAAATTTGCCTGAATATTTTATAAAGTTTGTTAAGCATTGCATTATTTCGTAATATTATGAATTTTGTTGTTTTGTGATTATTTGTAACTGTTAATATTCTTATTTAGCAAAATGTACTTAGAATTTAAAGGCAGTTTTCGTTATTTGTATTGTATAGCAATTGGTACTAGTTAAAAGCTATTTGATGAGTCTTAGGTGCCGAACAGAGTTTAATTAACCTACATATATTGTATATGCTGCATCTGCATTAAGGAAAATTTTGATTTTCAGGTTATCCATTATTACTGTTATAGCAGTTTTATTTTCTTATACTTAGTTACTCTACAATTTATATTAACAGATCTTAAGCAGGAAACAACTAAATGCATTTTGTGCGGATTGCTAGTAAGGCACGGAAAATAAGAAAACTTGCTTTCTATGAATTATCAGTGGATTATTTTTATCAGACTTTTTTTTTAACAATAACTGGACTTTTTGTGGATATTTTCTGGATGATGAGCAGTTTTACTATCAGGCTGCATCAGTTGGCATCTGCAAGCCGATGACAGACTGAAGAATCATCTGAGAATATTATGCAAGCCTAGTCCTGTTCAGTCCAATTGTAATGATGCTCATAACACGTTGCAGGTGGATGATACTATAAGGTATTTTCTTCTCCTTTCTGAATGCCTTCATAATACAGTCAAAAGTCGTTAATTCGGACACCCATAATTCGGAATGATCTATAATCCCCACCTCAAAACTAAAAACTTTCTGCGCATGCGCCGCGTTGACACATGCACATAGGCGTTTATGCGTGTGCGTAAGACCTTTTACGACTGCGCGTATGAGTGTGCGCAAGTGCAGAATATGTTTTCGCGTGCGCGTTTTATGTATAATGGACGTATAAGCTAAAATTATCTAATTATCTATTTCAGTTAAGTTCATGATTGCGTTGTTCCTTAATTTCGAATTGGATCCGGCTTATTATTTTTTGCAGACTGTAAGAGCAATTTTATAAAAGTAAGCTTAAACTTTCGATTATATCAAATAGAATTTCCAATATAATTTTAATATGTAAAGGATCTAAAGCGAAAGTATGTTTTGAAATCCGAAATCTGTTTATCAATTTCACGCTGCTCGACGGGGGGAACGCCGCGGCGGGAGCGTAATGAGTTGAAAGTTGATTTGTCAGCACTATCCTTATCTTCAGCGCAGATGTTTTTATTTTATTTGGCTTATAATTCCTTACCAAATGTAGTATTTCATTTCGATATGCTCTGTCTTTGATATGATTTAAAACAAGTTCCTCGTCATTATAATTCGCTTCTGATAGCGAAGAAAAGTGACAGAGGTTATTGAAAACGAAAAAATTTCGATTTAGTCAGTGTTCTTGACACAGCAATTATAGGACTTGAACAGCGGAACTTTGTAACTGAACAAGAAGTTATGTCTGTTTAATAGAATTAAAGAGAAAGTATTATCACATGAAACGAAGCAAAACTTAAACAACTTACATTGAAAGAAATGTTTAATAAAGTAAACAAATAAATATTAAGCTTTTTCCTTTTGCAAATTTTGATACCCTTTAGATCATAATTGTTCTTATTTCATAAATTATGGTTTCATATTTTTAATTTTAAATTTCTGCATGCCATCTTACGAGATTTAAACTGATGATCTATAATCCGGAAAAATCGATAATCCGGAATCGCCGAAGTCCCGACAAGTCCGGATTAACGACTTTTGAATGTATAATGATTAGCACACTCGGTGCTTATTCGAAAGGTCCAGGTTCGAGACCTGGTAAGAGCATTACATATTTTTTATGTCTTCTGCCCAGTGGCATAGCTAGGAAGATGGGACATCTGTCAGGAGCGCCAAATTGATGTTACAAAATTTTAGAATGAAAAGTTTTCCATTCTTAGCACACAGAAAGGGGCGCAAAATCTTCATTTATCCCCAGGTGCTGAAAACCCTAGCTACGCCTCTAATTCTGCCTCCAAATAACCTAATGACTTTATAGTGGTGCCCAAACTAAGAGGTGGTGAATGATGATTCTTTACCACTAGGACTTGGGGATTAGTCCGCTAATCCCCAGTCACCCTTTAAAAGGGAGGAGTGTATAAGGTATTTCACACTCCTTTTTGCATGCCTGCACACTTGCCGCCTATTCGAGAGGTCCAGGTTCGAGTCCCAGTCAGGGCACTGCTCATTTTTCACATTTCCTGCTTCCAAGTAATCTATTATCTCTACAGTGCAGAAATTTATTTGGCACCAGCTGAGTTGTGACATGCTGATTTCTTTTTGTGGATAGGGCACCATACCTGTCTCCTGCAGGCATCCAGCAACACTACTTACACTATCAATACTATATACCAGGGGTGGCCAAACTTCATAACAGTAAGAACTGCATGTTAGCATTTAGGAAATTTCAAGAACTGCAACTAGATTTTTGTTAAAAGCTCCAATTTTGTATTTACATCTTTAAAAAAAGAAACATATTTTTATAAAAATAAATTTTTGATGTAAATGAATATAAATTCTGCATTTTTCTCCTCCTCCTCCTCATATATACTATTCGAGAAGTGTTTTAAAATGGCAACATTTTCAGGATTTTGCAAACAAAATAATTTAGTTTTTCCCGTACAGTTAACCGACATAACAAGATCAAACTTAGTCTTACATATCTGATTTAATTCTTTAGATGCAAACAGGATATCAGTTACATTCTGTTTCTTTTAAGAATCTAATATCTGAATTCTCAGATCCTGTGAATCTTCAAAAAGATTTAAAGTTCCAAAACTTGGATCTTAGAATCCATTTTTTTTCAGTCATTTGAATTTTTCAAATCCTAAGCTAAACAATTGCTGAACCTTTCAATTTGGAAAAAGCATTGGAAAGATTATTTTAACTAACGCTTAGTAAAAACATTCAATTAAAAAAAAGTTGATAATTTTATTGTAAAAAAGTATGCATTGCATGCGAAAATATTTTTCATTTCAACTATATATTTATTCCAAAAAACAATCTGTAAACTTAGTTACACATGGGTGTTTGCTTTTGTTATGGTAGAAATTTCGTAATGATCACTTTGAAAAGGGATTCAAAGTATTGTTTCATTTCTTTGTATTTCTGCAAAATACTGTTTTCTTGCAGAAGTTTCACCTCTGTTTCTTCTCTGTTCACCTGTTCGCCTCTGTTCTAATAGGAAAATTCCACAAGTGCAAATTTTAAAATAAAGTATAAGAATCAGGACAAAAAAAAAAAAAAAAAAAAAAAATAATCGTAATTCTTCTCTAAAAGCTGTTTGAACTTGGAATATAACAAAAAGAATGCATATGAAAGTGGTAGCAGAAAAAACTGAATATAGCCCCGTTCACATGCAACGATCTTTCGCACAGACACCGTTTGTATTAGGGAGAAACGGGGATATGAGGCAGTTTTGCCTTCAGGACTGGTTCAGATGTACATCGTCTTCCATCCCTCAACCCGGCAAGCAATGAATGATGTCACCAACATGGATTGGATTGGCGAATTTCTAACCTTTGCTCACATCTTTTTTGGCATTGTTTACTATGGATATCGAAAGCCATCAGAGTTTAATTCTTTAATTAACTAAAATACACCTAAATTAATTTAAAATGCAATTTATATAAAAGACCAAATGGTTAAAAGAAGAAAAAAAATCACGTATATTGCTGAACGGTTTTAAATAAAATGTTTTGTCGCTGTTAAAATTTCAAACTCTGCTTTTTGAAAAAATGAATGAAACAACAAATTAATATTATTTACATTAATTACAAACATTTTAATATTGATTATAAACATTTTAGAAAGTATATTATAATTAATTCATGCATTAAAATTGTTTTGAACCTGTTTTACGAAGATTTTAAATAAAAGCTTGTAATATATATATATATATATAGAAATTCTGTAATAACATTTTTAAGAAATTTGAAATGATTTAATGACAATTTAGACCGTTTATATTCTTTAAAGTGTGTTTTCTCAGAATTATGTCCAAAGAAGCCTTTTTTTTTAACGTTTTATGTGTTACCTTTATTTATTAAATATCATGTTCTACGTACTCAAACCATAAAATTAAGTTCAACAGCAGTATCGGAAAAAAATTTTAAAATGAGCATATCTTTAGAATTTCTGATACAGAGTCTCGCACGCAGGAAATAAAGAAGTTACCCCAGTGAAGTTTTGCCATTTACTCGTTTCGAAATCGTTGAGTTTGTTAATAAAAAAATTTCTGAAAGTTTTACAAAATATGAAATAGTTAATGAAACAAATCCCAAATTTGAGCTTCCAGATCCCCATACTGGGGTGGAAACACACGTTATTCAAAATTGGATGGCTCTAGGTACTGTTGTTTTATCATAATGTGAGAAACATACACACATTTATGCAGATTCTTCATTATTTAATTTATTTAAATGTAATACCGGGTGATAATATTTGGTGGTAACAATTTGAAAAGTAATTCGCCGTTTAGTTTTCAACGTAAAATGCAAGAACGAAATAAATTGTAAAGTATAGCATTGTTCATCTACATTCGAACAGTGTAATATTAATTTCCTTTTTAGTTTTGCTTGAGTGGCAACAGCTGTAAAATGTTATTATTTTGGTAGTAGTGTGTTTAAATTTTTAGAGATATTATTTAGGTAGAAATAAGTTGATGAATGGACAAAATGATATACATTTACTGTCGTATCTAACATAAATAGTCCTTCAGGGCAAATTGTCCCTTTGGACTAAAAGTTTTCTTTCAGCTTAAAATTATCTTATCTTACAAAACTATTCAAAAAAATATCAAGACCCCTTGTCTCATTGAAGACGATATGTGTGTCTTTTAGTTTTAATTTGAACAGTATTTCTGGAATACCCAGCATCAGATAACCTTGTCTATACTAGTTACAAATTTCCGTATTTCGTACGGTTCCATCTAATTTTTTGGACGATACCTCATCCCCAGATATCTATCAGCGCGATTGTTTCGCTTACAGTCCAGCGAGCAGCAGTTGCACGTCAGCCATGTTTGTTAAAATTAGCGAACGGGGGAATATGGGAAATATGGGAAATCTCTCCATTCGTCCTGCTGCAGAGAGGTAGGAACATTCAACTAAGTTCTACCTCCGATTCGATGAGGCAGTTAATGCTTGTTTGCCATGTGAATGGGACACGTTGGAAGAACTGCTTTTCACTGCTGGTCGAATCTGCTTTTGTGAACAGGGCTTATCTGTCATGCGAATGGTTGCCTGAATAATTATTAACTGAATATTTGTCAGGCGAATGTTTGCCTGAATAATTATTATATACCTGGTTACCATATTTTGGCTATTTTGAAACTTTGCTGATTTCTGCTAGGATGGTTGCGACAATACGTATGTACCGGAAAAAGTTATATATCCAATTTATATATTATCAACATACTTTCTTTTAATTATACTTGGAATTGAGAAGAAGATTAATTAAATTTTCATTATAAAGTTAGTAATTTGTTCCTTTTTTTTTGTTTAAAATATTCTATTTTTTTCTAAATAAAGTAATGATTTGGTAGAACTATTGTGCGGATGGGTTTTTTAATATTATACAGTGAGAGAAATATTTTACAGCCTATTTAGTTCATTAAGATTGTAAATATATTTTTTATACATTTGAGAAATAAGTTAAATTTTGAATCGCTTTCAGACTACATTTGAAAAACTAGAAACAGAACTAAAGGAAGTGAATTCCAATTCTGATGCTCTGAAGAAAACATACTTTGAATTGACTGAATTGAAAAATGTTTTGACCCAAGCTCATATATTTTTTGCTGATGTAAGTATCTATTTTTTAATATTTGGAATTATTTTTTTTCCCATAAAAATCCATGTATGTTGGCTGTCTCATCAGATTTTGCCAGGGCAAATGTAATATAATTAACAGTGAAAATAATATAGTATTTTAATACCAGTTTGGTTTGTTCATATCACATTCATAAGTAACCAGATGTGGCAGATTGGTCTTCTCGTAATATCTGTATTTGATGGAAAGAATAGGTTTTGGCAGAAACTTTTCTGTTGTGGATAAAATGATATATTGTTGGCTGGTGTTCATGGCCCATGTTGTCACCAGTGAGACTAATCTTATTTTTGGTTCATGGGCTATTTTTGTACCAGTTGAGATAACTGTGCACTTCATATTTGGGGTTATTATTAATGATAACAAATTATTGGTAATACAGTACAAAGTCCAAAATCCGGAGGTCCATTATCTGGAATGATATAAAATCTGGACCTCAAAATCACCAACGTTTTTCTCATAGACTTTATGCATGCACATTTGATTTCCTCCTCCGCGTATAATAAAATATCTGGAGAGTGCTGATTCTTAATTTCACTTCAACACTAAATAAAATACCTTGTTAGTGAAGAAACAATCATTTTAGCATAAATTTGTACAATCAGTAATTTGACTGCATTGCTGCGTATCTGCTTGGCACACATTTCAAATCAAAACATTCGACATAGATGCATCGTTGATCTGATGCCAACCTGGAGAATCATTATTTATTATACCTTCCTTTCATCACCGCATGTTTCTGGAAACATGACAACTTGAGTAATAACTCATGTAATGGTGCCTCAATAATTTTTTTATGCTAGTAATTGAATAATAAAAGAGTATGGTAACCTTTTATGTCAAGTTAAATGCGCTAAAAAATGTTGACGAGGAAAAATTTACCAAAAATTTCTTTCCATATGCTAAAAATAGATTTTGTAGATGATACTCGTAGACCCAAAGATTACATTTAGGGCTATTTGAATTAAGAATAACTGATTTGTTATTCAATTAAATCCAGAACCAGCGCCGGGGCTTGTATGGCTGCACTGAGTCACAGAATTTAAGATCCACAGAGACTGCATCAGGTGGTAAGATATCTAGCATGTGCAGATAGCAGATGTGCATGCATAAAGTCTACGAGAAAAACGTAATAATACTATGGAAATAAACGTAGTAATACTATGGAAGGTATGTGGGGTGTAATAAAAGGGGATTTTCGAAAGAAATGCCACCCATAGCCCGGCAGTACGGTGGATATTTTTGATTTTTACTTTTGTGAATTCATGTGACAATGGCAGTATACAGATTCCAGTTCAGATAAGTTTAAACAGTTTTTGGATGCTGTTAAGGAAATCTGTGTGTCAGTCACTCACTGAAGCCACAGAAATTTCTAATTTCGATATTTCCATTTCGTACAGCACAGATAAGATGACTTGTATTTTAATTTTTATCTTATCTCTTTGTTTTATTTTGATTTAAAATTTAGTTTATTGAGATAATTTTTTTTTATGTTTTAATTATGTTTTGGATGTTACTTTGGAGGGTGTTGCACATAAAATGGTGCCAAAAAATCTCCAGTTTTCACCAAAGGGTACCCTGAAATATATTTTTCCCATATTTTTTTAATATACAGTCCAACAGCCATTTTTTTTGGAGTATAAATCTGTGTTATGATTTTCATGATAGAAGGGCTTTCAGCTTCCAGGGATATTAATTTCCATTCCTTCTCCACTGCTTTCCATCAATCATGATGGGTTTGCTCTTAGAAAGCGCTCTTTTCAAAAGACCAAAGGCACAATTGTCCATAGGTGAAATGTTGGGGGACTTTTCAAGAATGCGTTGAAAAGGTATATATTCAATATCTTTGTCAGTCTTCGTTTTTTTAAAGGAATTTAGTGATACTTTTCGAAGTATGGTTTGTTTCTTTGTTTTGATGAAGTTTCGCCTTTTTTCGTTCATTGGGATAAATAAATGGAATTTCTTCTGTAAATAATGGATGTAAAACTTTCTCTTGATTGTACGTTTAGTTGATTCTTATACTTTTTTGCTCCTCTTATTTTTAATTTCCTGCTGTAAAAGAATATTGCAACAATCATAAACTTCACTTCTTTAAACTTTCTTTCAATTTAGGGAACCAGATTAGTTAGTTTTTTAATCTTTGCTTTCAATAATAGACTTTTTTTTTCATTAATGTAGGTAAGCTTATGCATCATCATGGGTCGCAATATATTTCTGTTTATCTCCTGTTGTTTTTCAGACGGGTTTTTGACAAATTGTTCTGTGTTTGAGCCCCATGAATCACAAAAAGTTGGTGGACATTGTTTTTTTAGCTTTTTCAAGATATAAATCTTAATGTATTATTTTATTTATTGTTGCTGCAGATGTATTTAAAGACTTTGCAGTTGGCTTCTGCACCAATGGATTTTTCTCTTGCTACCAACGATTTAATTTTAGAAATTCCTTTTTTGGGCTTTCGTTGAAGTCTTCTTTCTATGTGGAAGTAATGATTGACAGTTTTTACCTTTCCAATTAATAATGTTGCTCATTTTGCACTTCGAAATATTAATAACATCAGTTTCCCTATGTTTTGATTGAAGAAAGGAATATTTCTCTTCGGAAAATGCAAAAACTTAGCCTTCAATCCACAGCTTGTTTACGTGTGACATTTTGAAAGAAGAATGTGTTTAAAAGTAGCAGATTGTGTTTCTCATTTCAAATAATAATCTGTTGCCAGAAATTTTTATTCCAAAATATTTGCTTTTTTAAAATACTTTGTATTTGTTTTTGTATTTATTATACTTGTATTTTTGTACTTTAACTAAATAAACTTTCATACCACAAGCATAGGACATATCTTACAAAACATTAAGTTTGAAATAATTATGGTTAACAAAAACATTCTGAGTGGGAAAATTATAAATTAGATTAAGAATAAAAATTCAGCAAAAATTTTGATTAAAATTAACCCTCCTCAAAAAATCAACTAAATTCAGCCATTTAAAATACTGAAACTGCAGATGTCATATGATCATATCCTGGGTTTCATTAAAAAGAAATGATATACTGTAAACAGTACTGTGCTGGGAGGCAGAGGGGAACATAGAAGCATAAAAAAGTGAAGTTGTATGAAATTAGCTTTCACCTACCTGTAAAATTATATCATAGTTTTGTATACCACAAAAATAATTCTGTAACTAAAAAAAAAGGGCAATCTATCGTAATAGTATTTCACAGTCTTTTTCAGCCTATTTCATTTTCCCTCCACACTTGTCAAAGTACTGTTACGTTATTTGCTTCATTCAGCAGTTTTAGGGTTGCCACATTTGGTGAGAAATCACCCATTTGGTCACCCTGCCTTCCCTTGCCATTTTATGGCAACCCTAAAACTGCTTTGCAGGGAAGCCATCTTACCGCACCTGTACATTTCATAACAGTACTATTCCTCCTTTCTCAGATTTTTTGAATCCATGGTGTATTCCAAATAATACGTAAAATTTGAAGTAATCTATTTCAGTATGCTATGAAGTTATGTATATAGAAGTTATCATCAAGAGGGAAATTTTTATACCCTTTGTAATACACATCTGCTGCTCCCATCGAAAAATGCAATTGCAATTTGTTTGAGCTTTTTTGTCTGCAAAGTGTTTCCACAAAAAACTTCCTTAATCTAATGAAAAGATTGCACTTGTAAGATACTGGGGCTGTGAACTAGATGTTCCCAAAGTTGTGACTAGACATTCTGAATACAGCTAATTTCTTTTGATCTTTTTTCCTAATCATATAGGTATTACATTATGAGTGTGACTTATGTAATATATGCTAATATTTAAATATTTATTAACTATAATAGAATATATTAATTTTATGCAAATCTAACATAAAAGTACTTACATATTATCCCTTCTATTGTGAAATGGTTGCCAAGCAACATGATTTAGTGCCTGTTATGGAAAAGTGTGATGTTGCAGCTCACTAGTAACATCTGCACTTTTATTTGATGTAAAGTCGATCGATTCTTGATAAACCAACTTTTGTTTTTATGATTAAGGATATAAATTAACTGTTATTGTTATGTTATTTACTGGCATTTTGAAAGAAATGATTAAAATTTGGGACTTGCTTTCTACAGAAAAGTAAACAGTAGATTATTTTCAAAGTTGCGTGATCCTGCCCTGAAAAAAGTGTTTATTAATGGAAATACTTGTAAATAGAAATATTGGTAAAGTGATTAGGGAAGTTAAAATGTTTAGGCAAAATTTTTTTTTGGAATGCAGTCCATCCTTGATTTAATCACAATTTTCATTTGCCTGATCCATAACATTGAAAATCAATAGAACGTTATAAATCTGTTGCTTTTTCTGTGCTTGTGCTTAAACCACAAAAGAGCAGGATAATTAGTGAAAAGAAATTAAAATTTTAGCATTTTATGGTATGTATCATTTTAAAAATTCCTTCATTTATCAACAACCCTGATTTAATGTTAATGTAGAGTTTGCTTGTTTGCCTGTCAAAATGCACTGAGGCCTGAAATTATAATAAAAGTGAGGTTTTTGATAATGAATGAGGATATTACTTCACATACTTATGTATAAGAGGAAAGTATTTTTAGTGTAAATATTAAATAATGCTATAGTTGTTATTGATCCATTGATTAAAAAAAGTACATGTCTGTATTTTTTGCTAAAAATAGTTTGGGAATTATAAAAGTAATGCATGTTATTAGGATATGCCTTACTAATTTTATATTAATTTGTGCAGCAAGATACACATCATCAAGTTGATTCAATGGATCAAACTACTTTGGTTGCAAACGAAGTTTCATCATCTACTCATGTTCAACACGGGTATGTTTTTTCATCTTTTTCTGTAAGTGTTTAATTAGGTACTGTTCTATTATTGGGGGGGGGACTGAATTTAGAAATGTATATATGATGTATGCATATATATATATATATATATATGCATAAGTGTGTAATGCTTTTGAAGCATAGACAAGGAATCAGCTTGCAGTCATTGTGTCTTATGGTAAAGGCTTACAGATGAAGATAACAAAACATGAAGAATTTCCAGTCTTTATTTCCATTCATTCTCATACATTTATATGATTCAATCATAATGAAATATGATAAATTGCCATGTACATTGTTTTCTTAAAAAGAATGACACTGCCATTTTACAGAAGCAAAGAGAGGAGATATTAGCAAGGTGGATGCTAGCAGAATAATAATGTAGTTAGCTCACCACAGTATTTATACAAGAGTAGGTGCAATTCTAGAAACAAGCTATGATTGCTTAATATTAGTTTTAGTTGTCCCTTTCCTGTAGCATTATGTAATGTAGAAAAGTATTGAATTTGGGAGAACAGATGAATTAAGGGGGAGAATACCAAATCTAGAATGTTACTTTTGAGGTCACCAATTATTTTTATAAAGCAGCTATCATATTTATTTAGCTATCTACGTGTATACATATACACATAGACGCACATACATTTCTGAATCCGGTCCTGATAACAGAACAGTATCTTTAATTACATAATATATTTTTTGAGAAAAAAGTAATGATGCTATAAATACAAAAGGCAAGAGCTGTTAGGTTTCATCTTATGAGCTGTCTTAGTCAAAAATGGGAAGGAATTTAAGAATAAAGTCTTTTTGTACTTGCTTGTTCATATTAAATGATTAGTAAACTGACTTTTAATTATGAAGTAAAATTTATGAAAAAAGGTACTTTTTAATTATCTGTACTGCTGGTTTGAACTGTTGGGTAGAATTGGCATATTTTTGAGTGTACGCTACAATAGCTTACATACACATGTGTGTGTCACATATATGTTTGAGTACATGTTAATTTATACACTTTATATCTAATTGTGAAATCTCTGAACAGGATCCATTGACTGTAAAAATGTAAGTATTGGCCATACAGAATTTTTTCCTCGTGTAGTTTCTTATAAAAAACTTCTCTTAATTATTCATGAGCAGAACAACACTTATGGAACAACACACTTCTGTTTATAGCTAAAGAAACATTTTTCATTGATTCACAAAGTTGCGAATGAATTAGCAACTTTTTATGAATGGCATGTAATCAGAAAGTACCAAAGAAAATATGTCTATCTTCTTTTTAAGATGCTTAATGTATCTTTTGCACTAATTTTCTATTAGAATTTATTTGTCAAACCTGGATGGTAAGTGGGGACATTATATATTATAAAAAGGCACATTCACGGCAAAATAATTGTTTTCTTGCAAATTCTTGGTATGCTCTATTCGTCACACTTGGGAAAAAGATTTCATTGACTCATTTTTAGATTCAGTCATATAAAAAATTTCCTAACTACCCATTACTTGCAGTTAGCCCTCCATTTAAAGCAATTTATTTTGTGTCTCATTGTTTTTCTTAAACAGCTTCAGGTTCTCCATGTGATATACAAGATGCTTGACCATGAAGTCTTCTTTTGTATTTCCATGTAGCCGAAGAGTCAATCTGTCATACATAATCTTGTATACTGATGTTTTCTCCTAGTTAGTTGCTTTATGTCCTAGGCATTTTTTTTTTTTTTTTTTTTTTTTTCAGAATAGACCAGATTTGAAAGATTCAGACCAGCAAGTTAAACACTTGTTGAGAAAGAAATCCATTGACCTTTAAAAATCTTGCATGAATTCCTCAGTATGAGTAGTTCATGCTCACGATTTTCATATGCCTAATCGTACTATATATGTTTGTTTTCTTTTATTAAATTTTTCAAATCGTTCTCAGTTAGCTTTCAAAAATTTGTATCAGCTTTTATGCCAGAATTTTTATCATATCACCATACAATCACATTACGTATTGAAACATGATACTGGCAAGAACACAGATAGTGTGTTCAATGCTCAAGACTCTGTTTATCATTTGGGACATTTCTTTGTTTGGAATATTTGTTTTTGACTTAAGAGTCCTCTGTTTATGTTTTTATATGTTTTTAATTGTGTGCATTATGTATATATTTTCTGTCATTTCAGTATAGTTTGATAACTCTTTTTAGATATTTGGAAAATTTTTGTTACAAATTATAAATTAAAACAAATATGCTGACAAAAAGACATTAAAAACAGTATAAACAAACTATAAGCACATATGCACAAACAAATATTTACATAAAATTACAACAGTATTAATCTATTTGTGAATTTGGACTTCATCTTCTATATTTTTGATTAAAATTTTAAAATGCTGGCAGACATTTTGTACTTTTCTCTTATAAAATAATTAGTGGGTTTAATGTTTACCATTTATAGGCAGTCAGTTATTGAACAGTACTTCAATTTTCTTTTTCATTTAGCACATGAGTAATAAACATTTTTCTTAAACTTTCTTGGACTAGATTTGTAACTGGCGTAATATTGAGAGAGAGAGTTCCAGCTTTTGAAATGATGTTGTGGCGTGTATGTCGGGGTAAAGTGTTCTTAAAGCAGGCAGAGTTAGATTCTCCAATTCAAGATCCCACAACTGTAAAGTATTATTTTAGAAAGTAATTTCTAATTTATTAGAACAAAGTTATAATATATACTGTTTATGAAAAAAATTTATACTTTTTCTAGGGATCTCTGTTGAACAAAGTTGTTTTTATATTGTTCTTTCAAGGCGATCAACTAAAGGGACGTGTGAAGAAAATTTGCGAAGGGTATGTTGTATTTTAAAGAATGTAAATTTGTTTTATGCTGTTTCTTAATTTTAAAAGTATTATTTTTTTTTCTGCATTATTTAGCTTTCATGCTACATTATATCCATGTCCAGAAACATATGAAGAACGTGAAAATATGCTTATAGGAGTGAAGACTCGTATTGAAGATTTGAGCCAGGTATTTTATGAATTCAGATATATTTAATGGTGCTACTGATATGAAGTATCCAGATTTTTTTGCCATTAGTACATTTCTCATTTTTATGTAAATTATTTAAAATCTCAAATTTGTGTAACTTATAATACATTACAAAGTCCAAGATCCGGACTTATCGGGATTTCGGCAGTTTTTGATTTGTGATTTTTCTGGATATTAGATCATCAATTTAAATCTAGTAAGATGGCATGTAGAAATTAAAAAATAAAAATATGCTATTGTGATTTATGAAATAATAAAGCATTTATGATTTAAAAGCTGTCAAAATTTACAAAAAAGAATTTATTTGTTTACTTTAGTAAACATTTCTTTCAATTTAAGTTGTTTAAGTTGCTTCATTTTTTGTGCTCATACTTTCTCTTTAAATCTATAGACAGGCATAATTTCTTGTTCAGATACAAAGTTCTATTTTGTTCAAGTCCTGTAATTCCTGTGTCTAGAATTCCTACTAACTTATTAATCCACATTTTTTCATTTTCAGTAACCTCTCTGTCACTTTTTTAACTATCAGTAGCATTATTTTCTTGAATCTAGAACCATACTACGGATTTTGCCATCCATTAATTGATTATGATTGGGGATTTGTCATTGCAATGAAAAACATCTATAATATCATCTTCGTTTATTATCACTTCTCCACATTTCTTTACAAAATTGATTAATTGTAAAATTTCACCTTTGGTTTGCATTATCTGAAAACCTTCAAGTTCATGGCTAACATCTTCATCATTTTCATTATGAAATATGGTAGCTGGTTATACATTGTGCCAAGCATTTTTAAAAATATCTGGATACACATCTTCCCATGATCTTGCAGTGCTCCACACAGCAGATTTTATGCTAAAATATTTCAAAAATTCTTGAACAGTCTTGCCATTATTCAAGAAATATAAACAGGGATTTTAAAAATGCTACTTTTTATTTGCATTTCAGCATGTGTACTAGTATGATATTCATAGGTGAATGATGGACTTACAGTTTAGAGGAAGGAATATTATGGCTACATTATCTTTCACTAAAACTTTAAGTGAAGTACGAGCCAAACGGTTGTCTACAATTCGGACTGTTTTTGTGTCATCAGGTAAATAAACCGAATTCATATGCTGCCGAGCCTTGGGTATGAAATGATTTTCAAACCAATCATTCATTAATGCTTGTGTCATCCATGCTGTTTTATTTTAATGATGTACAAGGGACAAATTCTTTACTCTTTTAAATGCTCGAGCTCGTGTATTTTTTCGATTACAAAAAGTTTACACTTGTGCTTTCCTGCCGCACTTGTTAGTTTACATTTTTGTTAGTTTTGCTTTGAAATCTTTGACACCAATTGAAGCTTTTTCTGTAAAGGTTGCGAAGGAGTTGCCAGAAAAGACCAGGAAAAGATAAAATCTATCATACAGATATTGGAAAGAGTTATACCGCTTTTTACCATTTCCTTCAGAATCTGTTGTTACATGAGATTCAATTTTTCGTGAACTTTGATAAACAAATTTTCTCTCTGCTAATACAGCCTTGGTTAACTCTTTTTTTTTTTTTTTTTTTTTTTACTGTCGGGTTTAAGACTTTTAATAATCAGTATTTTTATTCTGATATTTTGCTGTAGCCTTACTGACATATAAAATGTGAGAGCTTTTTAATATAACAATGCTGTTGATCAAGAAGTATACACATTATCACTGTCATTAACTTACTGCCATTGTATGTTATATTAGTGAAGCATGATTTCAAATGTTATTGATTTTTTTTTAGATATACGAAATGGTTAATAGGTACAAAGGTGTACTTAATCAATTTATTTCAAAGCTTCTTGAGCAAATTGCTTCTAAGGCAATTTATTTCAAAGCTACATGTAAAGTAAAAAGCATTTAAAAATTCATAATAAATATTTAATTTATTAATTATGCATTTACTTTTATTAGTCAAAATTTCTTTAGAAAGAGTTTAAATTGTACACTATGGCAAACAAACACAGTAAAATCTCTTTTAACTGGCAGCGATGGGATAGCATTGATCTAAGATTTTTGGCTAAGAGATTTTTCTAGATAATTGAATATATTTTTGTGACTTTTGTATTTATGTAAATAATTTAGTGAAATTATATCTGTATTATAATGTAACATGAAAAGCCTCAAGATTGTGAAGCCTCGCTTAGGAAGGGGGGGAACGGCTATATTGGCAAGTCCATTTAGCACAGAGTTAAATGGTTAGCTAGATAGCGCTGAGTTGCTGATGGTTTTAGCTTTGCCAAATTTGGTAGGAAATCTTGAGAAATCGAAAGTACAGGAAATTTCTCTCGTGAATTGATGTGAGCTTACATGTTGAGGTATTTTATATTGTTTTGTGTATAACGATCTTAGTAGTTTGAAATTGTAACTACTGATTGTCACACTGAGAAGAGCTGTACAAGTACTTGAGGGAAAAGTTCTAGAACTGTGAAGTGTTCCTTTTGGGAAGATAGATTTTATCAAGCTATCATTTGTTCTGTGTACGTTCAATCCATTATGAACTCATACACACATGACAATATATTTCTAGAATATGTATGTTTTATATTGTCGAGTCTGCAGTCTGTAGAAATTGCATTATGCAAAGTCTGTTGATTTTATTTTTTGATCTGTCAGCCACATTTTAATATATAATATTGAAAGTCACACAGATTATTTAAAACTAAAACACATATGTATGATTTTATATTTCAGGAATGTAAAATTAGGCAATATTTAAAAATTACTATGTGTGTTATCACATGAAAATTACAAATTTCTTAATGTGATGACACCTTTTAATGTCTGCCTGTTTTTGAGATATACAAGGAAACTTTATAACATCATGTACTGACATAGATGAACACTGATTGACAAATCCTGTGAAAGTCTGCAATCATTCATTAATTTCCTTCCATTTAACTTATTCTGCATGTCATCTTCATCCTCCTCATTTTTTTTCTTTCCCAGTAGATCCTGAATATTTCTGATTGCCTGTCTGATTGCTTGTATATTTTTAATAACGTATATATATTTGCAATTTTTTAACTTTGTTTATGTAACAGATTTAAGTTTTTTAAAACCTTATTTGTGTTACTGATTTTGTTTTGCCAACTATTTCAGGTTTTGAATCAAACTCAAGATCATCGCCATCGTCTGCTAGTTAATGCTGCTAAAAGCATTTATGTATGGTTAATAAAAGTGCTTAAAGTAAAAGCCATTTATCATACTATGAATCTTTTTAACCAAGATGTTACAAAAGAGTGCCTCATTGCAGAATGCTGGTGTTCCACGAACAATTTACCAAGGGTTCAACAAGCATTACGAGATGCTACGGTATTTATTGCATTAAGATATTACAATCATTCCTCTTAAAGAAGAAATTATACTTTTATCACATTTTTTTTTTTTTTTTTTTTTTTACATTTTAATTTTATAATTTTTTTATGCGTGCCTAACGTATATTAAAAGTGTAATAATTGTAGCAATATCTGAAGTTCTGAAGGTTTAATTCTTTCAGGAGATATAATAACTGGTTATTTCATTATGTATAGTCAAAAGTCTTTAATCCGGACTCGTCGGGACTTCGGTGATTCCGGATTATCGATTTTTCCGGATTATAGATCATCAGTTTAAATCTGGTAAGATGGCATGCAGAAATTATAAAATTAAAAATATGAAACCGTAATTTATAAAATAATGAGCAATTATGATCTAAAGGGTATCAAAATTTACAAAAAAAAAAGCTTAATATTTATTTGTTTACTTTATTAAACATTTCTTTCAACACGCGCATGCGTAAAGCATACATTATGCATAGCCGAAATTAGAAAATTGCAATCAGAAAACTATTTGATTTGTATTCGTGATATTTATAATGACGAGGAATTTGATTTAAATCATATCAAAGACGAAGTACATCGAGATGAAATACTACATTTAATAAGGAATTATAAGCCTAATAAAATAAAAACATCTGCCCTGAAGATAACGATAGTGTTGACAGATCAACTTCCAGTTCATTGCGCGCCGCGACGTTCTCCCCCCCCCCCCCGCGCAGAGCAGCGTGAAATTGATAAAGAGATTTCGGAACGGTTAGATAAACAAAGGATATGCCTTTATCCATTTTTTGGAGCAATTCCACTTTTTGTTTGATGGACATCGAAACATACTTTCGTTTTCGTAGATCCAGCATCGGAAATTCTATTTGACACAATCGAAAGTTCAAGCTTACTTTTATAAAATTGCTCTTGCAGTCTGCAAAAAATAATAAGCCGGATCCAATTCGAAGATTAAGGAACAACGCAATCATCAACATTAACTGAAATAGATAATTAGATAATTTTAGCTTATACCATTTGTTATACATTAAACGCGCAGCGAAAACGTATTCTGCGCTTGTGCACACGCAAATGCGCAGTCGTAAAGGTCTTACATGCACGCTTAAACGCCTATGCGCATGTCTCAACGCGGCGCATGCGCAGAAAGTTTTTAGCTTTGAGGTCTGGATTATAGATCATTCCGGATTATGGGTGTCCGAATTAACGACTTTTGACTGTATTTCAAAGTTACTATATACATGGTTTGTTTGGTTCATCCTTAGATTTTTGTGAAATGATTTTATAAATAGTCCTAAATTTAGGATGGAATTGGTGAATTCCCTTTATTTTGCTTAGCTGACATTTCTACCTTTTTCTGTGATTGCTGTTTTTAATATGAATTAACATTTCAAATGAATATGGAGCTCAATCCAAGGGGCTCGTAATGGAACCATTGCAAATCGGCATTGTAAATAGTGTAGAACAATCAGCCATCTTAGAACAAAAAAAGTTTCTGGATTTCTTATTCATTGTTCAAAACAGTTATTATCAACAACATTACTGTTCTGTCTTTATTGAAATAGTTCAATCATTTTTTGACCTATAGTGACAAAAACTTGACCTTCCATAAAATTGAAGGTCAGATTTCATGAACCCACTGTCATCAGGAATTCAGAAATGCTTTAGGATGTGAACAAAAGACGTGATTAGAAACTTCTAAACGGAAAATGATGTTCTGACAAAATCTACTAGAACGATCTAAATCTAGAAATGTGTGCATGTGGCAGTCGAAATTAATGAAAGCACAAATAAAGTCATGGAAGATGGTGAATGAAACTTGGAAGTATTGAAAGGGATCTAACATATCTATTTATTTGGTTTGTTGAGGAAATTAAGAGAAGTCATTAAGAGAAACAAAAATAGGTTTCTCTAGTTTTCTCAATTGTTGGAACACATGTAATTATAATCAAAATGAAGGTTTTGTATTCCTTTCAATCAGCCATAATGGAAGATTTAGGTATCCTGTTCCTGGAGCTTGTATAAACATGATTAAACTTTTTGGCAGTGATTTGTGTATAACTGTATATATCTAAATATAATAGTAATTTATGTTATATATTGTGAGGCTTCCAAGTAGATAAAATTCAATCTTAGGCTGACAGTAGTTTTATCAAAATTCTGTGTATTCAGTGAGAATCTGAGTTAGTCCTTTTTTGAGATGCAAATTTTTATATAATTTTTTCCCAGAAATGGTTAGTTGACTAGGTGAAATAAAAGATGGTGCAATAATGTAATATGATAATAAAAGAATCTAGCAATTATAGCGGTATTAAATATATTAAATTAGAATTACAGAGACGCTGTGGTAACAGTTTAGTCATCTAGCACAATTAGCTGGCATGAATATTACAACAAAAAATGGTTCTGGTTATATTCTTGATTTAGTTTTTTTTGGGGTGGGGGGTTACAATTCAACTGAGATTAAAAGTAACCTATGCTGGGGGTTGCAATTCAACTGAAATAAAAAGTGACCTATGCTGATCTCTTCCTGTTTGGAATTCGTAACATATTTTGTATAAAGAAAGAATGAATTTTAATATAAAACTAAAATTTTTCCTTTTTCCTTGGTGTTATTTAGAAAATAAAATACATTCTTTCCTTCTTTAAATGTTAATTTCTCTAATTACATATTATTATTCAAGTTAGTCTTTTTTTAAATACACCAGAATTTCTTATTTGTGCAGATTTATATAATATAATGATTGGTAATCAGTAAAATTTTATTTTTAATTATTAATATTCTTTATGTATGAATTGTTAGAATTTATAATCATTAACAATAAAGAAAACATTGCAATTGTTAACCAGTATAATATATTAGTGAAATATATAACTGAAAAAATTTTGAATTTATGTAGGAAGACAGTGGAAGTAGTGTTCCTTCCATAGTTAATCGTATGGAAACTAAGGAAGCACCTCCAACATACAATATGGTTAATAAGTTTACTTCTGGTTTCCAAAATATAGTTGATGCATATGGAGTTGCAACATATCAAGAAGTAAATCCTGGTAAGCATGCTATATCGATATTTGAAGTGACTGTTTTAATTGTGTTTTCTTAATTTTCAAGCATAGTTTTTTTTATACCGCTCATCAAAAAGGATAATCTGAAAAATACATGCTGATTAAAATTTTGAAATATCTAGTGCTGTGAAATTTATGTTAATTATTTGCACTGAATGCAAAATTGTACTTCTATGTATAAGTCAGTACTTGAAAATGCAAATTAGGCAGTGGACAACATGTTGCATTTTGGGCATTGGCTGAAATTTGCATGTGTGATGGTGTTTGAAGTTAATGAAGTTTTTAAGAGTAATCAGTATTTATTAATTATGATTCAAAGATATAATTTATATGAAGGGCAAAAATGGTAGTTAATTGGTAAACTTTTGTTAAAACAAATGGAAATCATCCAAGAATTAAATACACCTCAGACTGTCATAGCAAGGACTTAGATTCATTTTTTAATCAGTTATTCAGTCAGTAAATAGCCTGTTCAATGGTGGCCTGCATCCAAATATTGTTTTCTGTCATTGTTGTCTAAGAAATCATGAAGTTGAACTCTTCAGCCTGCTACAGGAATTCAAATTAGATTTTCTACTGCTGCATAAAGGCTTCATAAGCTTGGAGATAGAAGATACTAAAACTTAATCATAATTTAGCATGTGTAGGATGCATTTGGTTGCTGAATTCCAGTATGCGAAATGCTTTTCCAGACCTTCTAGGTAATCTAAAAAGGGCACTTTCATATAATTTCACAAGACTTGATCAGTAATGTGTAAAAGTTTACAAAATCAAGATGTGAGGTTTGCATTTTGTTCAGAACTGATGGTACACTAAACTAAAGGAAGATTTTTTGCAAAATGAAGGTCATAATTTTTCCATGATTTTAAAATTTCTATAAATTTGATTTTGAATTCAAGATCCTGAGATTAAACCACTTGCAAACATGGTAGTTCATGTTAAATAATGCTTCTATACAAACTGTTTGTAGTATTTTTTAAGTAAATAACTCTTGTAAGTATCTTTTGAGTATTTTAATAAGTAACTTGCTTTTTAATATTTCCATTTTAAAATCAGTTGTTGTTCTTTGAATATCAGTGCATTTTCTGTAGCACAGTTTTGCTAAAATTGTTTCTTATAAATGAATGCTTTCCACATTAAACAGCATTATATATTCTTCCTTTCTAATGCTTTTGCAATAGCATCTCCCCCCCCCCAGTTTTTTAACAAGGTACAAACATAGGTGAGTAAACATGTCTTTCACTATGTAGTCACTTTTGGATTTGACCCTTTTTATAATGAATGTTTGAACTTTTCCTGGTAGTTATCCAATTTTTTTATATTCTATTCTTGCTTTCTGCTTGCTAGGATCCATATTATAGAGTCAGTTTTTTGAAGAAGGAGAGGTAAAAAAATGTGCAATGTCTTTGCTGGAACTTGAACTCTGGACCTCTAAAATAAAATACACATTGAGTATGCTTCCAATTAGACAACAAAGACATGCAAAAAGGAGGGGAAAAAATACCGTATATACTTCCCCTTTTAAAGGGCGACTGGGAATGAAGGGATTCAAGCACCAAATCCTAGTGGAGATATATTATCATCCACCACCTTTTAATTCGGGCACTACTTGTCATTAGTTTTTTGAAGCAGCAGAGATAAAAAATGTGCATTGCCCTCTCTGGGACTCAGATCTTTTACCTCCCGAATACGCATCGAGTATGCTTCCAGTTACACCACGAGGGTATGTAGAAAGGAGGGAGAAAATACCTTATAGTATAACTGGCTTCATCTTATGCCTGCATGAATTGTCTAATGAAAAAATAAAAAAAAGTTGAACTCTTGTGACTTTTTTTTAATTGTGTTTGTGCATTTCAGATACTATAAAAAATTAACATTAAAAATGAATTTTTGTTATTTTCTGGACTGGGTGCTTATATTTGAAATAAATATAAATAAAACACATAATACAGGACCCAAGATAAACCAGAACCAAAGCAAGTAAAGAACACTTAAACTATGAGGTGATATTATACAAGTAGATGAAAGACAAAAGCCTAATTGCATGGGTTCCTCCATCTCTGTAGAGTTACATTATGCTGGGCCTGCATAATGGATATTTCTGCATTATACTGGAAATGTTAACTGCCATATTCAGGTACAGTTTGCACTCAATGAATCAAGTTCAGTGCTACTTGCTTAACTCCTCCTGTTGGATGCTGATTGTGGCATTGCATGTGTTCTGTTGCAGTCCGTCAAGAGCTTTTGGATTGGCCTGGTAAACCTTGCCCTTCAGATTGCCCCACAAATAAAAATCACAACTGGAGAGATTAGATGACCATGGAGGCCACAGATCTCATGAGACAGTCCTGCCACGTGTGAAAAGTAAGTACACTGCTTCTGAGAAGGCATGTGTTATATGTGTTCTCATATCTTGCTGGTTGTATATGAAACATCATTCAGCATCAGGTATTCTATGAAGAGCTGGAAGATTTCAGCAATGGAATAGCGCTGTATCTGTGAAAGAAATAGGTCCAATGATTGCCATTCTTGATACAGTGCACCAGACTCTAGTCATGCAACAGTAGTTTGAATATTTGTTCTGCATTTTCATCAGACCAGTATTGAAAATTTTGCAAATTATCACAGCTGCTAAGGTAGAATTGCACCTCATCCATAATGAAGTAGAGGTTTAAACTGAGTAAATTACTTTCAAATTCCTAAAGTAGCCATGTGCAGTATTGTACAAATTTAACTCTTGTAAAGCCATGATCTTGTATAGGTTCAGGTTCGAGTTCCTGTAGAATGCAGTGGCATATTCCTAGCACTCCTGCCTGCTGTGACAGGCATCTCATGAATTTCACGAGGCTTTACAATATCTTCTGATGGATATCTTCCTTCTGTGCCTCGGTCCTTTCACATGTGGGTATTTATGCTTTGGTTGTTGAATCACTCTTGAATTCTGCATGGAATTTTTTTTGTACTTCTGTAATTGATCTGCCAGTTGTGTAATATTTTTGATGATGAATATTCTGGCTTCCTTCATCAATGGCATATTCATGTGTGTGTACTGGTTGAGGTGGTTACCTCAACTTCATTTCCTTTAGAACTTCTTGGTGTCCCTTCTCCTCCGGTGCTTTTCTCCTCTCGCCGTCCAAGATCATTGTATGAAACACCTCACTAGAAGGCATTCAAAATACTTGTTACTACATCAAATACAGTAATGTTTTTCAGTTTCTCTTCTTCTAGGTGCAATTTGGTTTATCTTAGGCTACCATGTATCAGAGTTACACTTTGATAGAAATTAATGAAATTTAAAAGTTTGATACTATAAGAAATATAATTTTTGCCTTCATAATACCTTAAAAATGAATTGTAAGTTTTCAACATAAGGAGCTAACATGCAAAATTAAGTATATTCATATTTTCATAAAAATTCAGTTGACTGACTAAAACTGTATCATAACATTAATTTAATTTCTCCTAACCAACATTTGAGCAGAAAAGGATGCATCTATATTTCTGTGTACTTTCAAAAAGCATTAGTTCATTCATAATAATTCATATATTGCAAAACACAAAATATCCCATTAACCATTAATTATTATTATCCATTAATCATTACTGCCTGAAATAATGGTACTAATCGGTCTTGCTGATTAACGTAGGTGAGGGAGTATGTGAGAATATTAGGCTTTGGTTGTTCTAGTTTCTTTTAGAAAATAATCTACAAAAGTATATTCAGGCAGTCTTTAGATCCTTTGCTGAACAACACTTTGTAGTGGCAGCCCTGTCTTGGAGGTAGTCGAGTAAATTAAATTTGGAAGTCGTAAATGATCTAAAAATTACAGATATCTGAAAGAGAAAAAATGTTAAGCTTTATGATAGTGAGATCTAAAGAAGACTTTGCGAACTGTAATTGTAGTGTGTCATGAAACTACCAAAATTCAAATGCTGTGCGACCTCTGATGGTGACTGCCTCTGAAAATGAGCAGTATTTCTGACAGCATAAGTGAACTTTGGTTTTAAACATAATCTTGCTTCATCTAAGGGGACCACTTTTATAAAAGAACCTATTTGAAATCATGAATAGAAGGTTTCAATTAAATTTCACTTTGATGATTTAAAAGATAATTCTTATTTGAAGACAGATGTATTTAAAAAATCAAAGTTGTTTTTATAGGGTAGGTTTTGTCAGTATTATGTGAGCATTAGAGTCAAGAAATGAAAAAAAGCTACCCCATATAGTTTTTTGCCCTTTGTGTAACATTTTAAAATAAATAAGCTAATTCCATAATAAGCTGTTCCATATAGTTTCTTCCCCCTTTTTATAAGCTTTCCCATATAGTTTTTCCCCTTTTTGTAAAATTTATAATTAATTAAGCAAAATTTATAATAATTTGTACATAATACAATATACATAATGAATAAATTGAAATGTAATAAATAAATTAAATATATTTTAAATATAATGATACAATGTAATGAATAAATTTATGTAATTACAATGAAGAACATTTAGTGATATATTTAGTTAAAAACAGCAAGGAAGAGTTTTAATTGTATAACAACTCAGGTATAACAACTCGCATTTACTTTCTAAAATATTCGCAGTAATAAATGTGCTTGAAAAATAAAGGAATTTTCAAAATTATTTTTTCATGTTATATATATTAAGAGACAAGACTTTTAAAGTAAAACTTCTTAAATAGCTTTTTTTTCCCCCTTTTAGAAATATATTTAAGAGTTACCATTTGTTTTTTAACCCTCTGAGCGGCCAGGGTTTTTGCTAAGCACAAATTTCCTAAAACTACTATGAGAATTTTTTTTTTTTTAATTTTAATGTAAAAACTCTCATATTTCATACCTGGATTGGTGTACTTTTGATATATTGCCTTATTTCTTTGACATATTTTTATATGTACATATGTACATATACGTTCTTACAGATATCACAAAAAATATTATACGGCCTAGAATATTTTTTGCCGCTTAGAGGGTTAAGAAAGCAATATTTTGTTTTATAAGCATGTTTTTCTAGAGTTTTTGTACACTAGATATGTATTCTGTACACTTTTTTTTTTTTTTTTCCAGCTCCATACACAGTTATTACATTTCCTTTCCTTTTTGCTGTAATGTTTGGTGATTGTGGACATGGTTTAATTATGGCCCTATTTGCTTTTTGGATGGTTCTCAGAGAAAGGCAACTAATAGCACAAAAAAGTGACAACGAGGTATACTTTTTTTTGTAATAATAAATTATTATAGAATGAGGGAGAATTTAGTTCTGTTATATTAAATAAAAACTAATAAAAAATCGGTAATGTGAAGGGCACTCAAACTTTTGAGGTACACATAATTCATGAGCTTGAATTATGCATAGTTATGAGGACATCTGCAATATGAAGAAAGGGAAATTTTCAGGCTTGTAACATTTTTGTGATTTTATAAAAGGAATAAACCTTAAGTAGTGTCATAAATGAGTAACATGTTTTGAATATGAAGTCTTTTCATAAGCCACTGTATTTAAGTCATGCTTTTATTTTAAAATTTGGTATAATTATTGGGAAGATAATAAATGTGAAGGCTGTCTGTGTACCTCAGTTCAGCAGGAATTCTTCAATTTATCAAAGTTTCTTATATCACTTATGTCCATATAAAGGATACCTTTAAAATTTTGTTGTTAAATATCAACTCTATTCCTTCAGCTTTATTTCAGAAAGCAATTGTCTAGGTTGGATTTCAATATTTTTACTTTGTAGTACAGAGAAAGACTCATGTGAACTGGTGAAAATTTGTGTTATAGAATGTAATAAGAAAATTTTAAGTGTGTCAGAAATCTTAACTATTGACAGAATGTTTGCATAAATGTATGAGCGACTGATGAAGCAACAACTGATTTGACTTTTTAAAATTTTATTACAAATGGGAAAA